AAGAAAGAAAGAAAGAAAGAAAGAAAGAAAGAAAGAAAGAAAGAAAGAAAGAAAGAAAGAAAGAAAGAAAGAAAGAAAGAAAGAAAGAAAGAAAAAGGAAAAAGAAAGAAAGAAACCGATCCTGGGAGGGGAGAGAAACTTGCTGCTGACCTCGAGTGTGCTGACAGGCCATTTCCCAAAACACAAAGCCCTGGTAGGCCCTCTCCAGGTCAGCCCTCTTCCCCCTGTGTGCTGCAGTGAGGACTCTGTACTCTCCCTTGTTCCCCAGTGGACGGAGCAGTGAGTGCCCAGACCTGCCCCCGGTGAGCCCCAGCTGGGAACAGGGGAGCCTGGGCTCCTGCCCACCCAACCTCAGTTCCCCTCTCAGCTGCTGCTGCTGCTGCTGTGACTAGACAGGAAAAACTCGATGAGCAAGACCGTCCCGACCAAGACTGTGAGCTTTCTGAACACAGGGACCAGGCTCAGCATAGTCCCTGTGGGGGGTGGGGTCAGGGTCACAAAATAGCGCCCAGGGAGGGACGCAGGCAGTCACCTCCACAGAGGTGGCGATAGGTAAAGACAGCGTGCCAGGGCATACTGCAAACCCCCAGAGTCCAGGCCAAGCCACTTCTTCTCCAGAACCCAGCTCTGGGGCTTGGGGACAGGGTGGGGTCCTGGTGAGCAGTGTGGGGTGGTGACATAGAGGGACTGACCCCCTTCCAGACAGCCTAGCCCTCCTCGGCTGGGCAACAGGAAAAGCAGAAAGGACAAGACGTGTCACATACAGCCCAGGCTGTCACATTCCCCAGCCCTAAGAATTTCCCAGCTGCCAGGTTGGAAAGTTCTAGAACTCTTGGCCCCGTGCCCTATTCCCGCAGCTCTCCCATGGGATCCAAGAGCAGTCCTCTGCAAAATTCTCCAAGCCTCAGGCTCTGAGTGGCTTTCAGAGGAGCAAGGATTTGGGAGTCCGGAGCCTGCCCCGCCCCCCCACCCCTTCTTGCCTTCCTTACTGGGTCCCTGCACTCCTAGCCACCCCAAGTCACTCTGCTGCTCACCGTGACCCCTCTCCATGCAGCTACACCTGAGGCCAGAGAGGTGGACCCACTGTCCCCTGCTCCCCCCCAGCATCCACCGCTGAGCCACTGTGAACACTACGCTGTCGGTTTTGTCTGAGGTGGGGGGGGTTGTGGCACCCCTGGCAGAAGCCTCCTCTTGGGGACACTGGCCCTTCCGAAGGTACATGGCAGCGTTGTAACTGCTGCTAGGGACGGCCTGAGGCTGGGTCACCTGGTGGCTGTGGCCCCCATGGAAAAGCCCTCAGCAAAGCCTGTGGTGAGGGCTAAAGGCATACTGGGCTGTGGGGACCCCCAGGGCAGCTCTGTCTCCCTGTTTCTGGTGCTGGTATACAAGCCTCTGTGAGTTTTGTGAGCAATAAGGCTGCATAAAGGACACAGGGACCCAAGTTGAACCCTGACCCTGCCGAGGCGTGTGAGGTCAGCTCTCCAGAGGTAGGCAGTTTATCAGGGAATTTAAATGTGATCAGGAATGCGAGAATACCTTCCTACTGGAGGGCCAAGGCCTAGAGAGAGGCTTGTTTATGTAGGTCTGGGTTGGCTTCAGACCGGACTCCGGGGTTACAGGTGTGAGCCAACGCCCTCGGCAGACTTTAGTCAGGGCTGGGCAGGGAGCGTCCTCAGATTCCTGGCCCTGTCTTCATCCTAAACAACCTTCAGCCCATCCCCGGGGCTGGGGAGAGAAGGCACCGTGGAGGGCAAGGTGGGACTGCGGAACTCGGGAGGAGGATGGTCTCTCTGGAGGGCGCAGCCCAGGGAGTAGGTCGCATTTGGAAGACTATCTGGGACATAATGTCCCAGTGGGAGTGACAACGGCCAATGTCACCACCAATAATCAATCAGAGAGCTCCTCCAAGCATTTGTGATGAGAGACGGCCCCACCCAGCCTTGCTTCTGTGGATTTCTGGACACAGGCTATGGCCTCAGTTTCCCTTCAGTGCATAGGGTCAGGAGGCAGGACTAGCCACCCTGTGACAGGAAAGGGGTCCCAGAATCAACAGCTGCCCCCGTTCCCATTCACACCAGCACCTCTGAAGCTGCCCGGCTGTCCTGGCATGTGAGAGGTTGCAGGCTAGGCCCGGGCAGGTTCCTGGGCAAAGTCCCTAACAGGATGGTCTGCTTTAGCGGGACTGGGATGGACTTGGTACAGTTTGGTGGCACTGGTCTGAAAGCTGAACAAAGAACGAGAAAGGAAGGGGCCATTGGTGTCAGAGAAGCCAGCAGAGACAAGAAGCCAGCTCTTGAATCTGAGCAGCTGGGTTTATCATGAGGGCCATGGCAGCCATGGTAGGCTCTTGAGGGGAAAGAAAGGACACGGAATACTCAAAGCACCGGAGTATCTCTCATAGGCACAGAGTTTGGTCGGAGTCTGGGTGATCTTGGGACTCACTCCCTAGAGTATTGTGAGGACTGAGGTGGGGCGGGGGGCTGGGCAGGGGAAGAAGGAGAATGTCCAAGTTGAGGGGATGCTGAAGAGTTAGGAAAGAGATGAACCCAGAGGTACCCAGATGCCAACAAGCCAGTCAGGGCTGTTTTCAGCTTTCTCATCCCAATGAAGTGTTTTTTCTATAAGAAAACTAAGGTTCAGAGAAGTTAAATGACTTGCCTGAAGTCACACAGCAAGGAGGTGGCCTTGTCTAGAGCCTGGACCCATCCTTGTCTGGAGCCTGGACCCATCCTTGTCTAGAGCCTAGACCCATCCTTGTCTGGAGCCTGGACCCATCCTTGTCTAGAGCCTGGACCCATCCTTGTCTGGAGCCTGGACCCATCCTTGTCTGGAGCCTGAATCCCATACTCTACTACCAGGATGGCTCCCAGCCTCTTTGTCTCCTTTGACCCCAGACCCCCCCAGAGCAGGCCCTGACTCCAGAGGTGGGCGTAGGTCTGAGGCACTGGGTCTTCCCCTCAGTTACGGTGACCAGGTGCAGCACTTCAAGGTGCTCCGAGAGGCCTCAGGGAAGTACTTCCTGTGGGAAGAGAAGTTCAACTCCCTCAACGAGCTGGTCGACTTCTACCGAACTACCACAATTGCCAAGAGGCGGCAGATCTTCCTGTGTGATGAGCAGCCGCTGCTCCAGGTAAAGATGGGACGAGGAGCCCCGAGTCTGAGGGGCACCTCCCTGCCCTCCCCAGAAGCCCACGGTCCCCAAAGTGGCCCAGGTGTGCTCCCTGTAAGAGTTAAGCCAGGATGGGGCAAGGGGAGGGGGAAGGACCGTGTGGAAGGTAGATACAGTGCAGAAACTCAGCCCTGCCAACACAGACTGAAATTGTCTGGAATGTGCAATAGGTGAAAATAAATGCGTGCTAATGAATGAATGTATGGACGCCTGCTGAGTCCCACACACTGAGCTGCACTGTGCACCCTGTTTTGGCAGATTTTGTTTGTTTTGAGGCAGGATCTTTCTGTGTAGCCCCGGCCTGCCTGAGGGGCGCTAGGTAGAACAGATTGGCCTTGAAGTCTCAGTGAGCACCTGCCTCAGCTTCCTAAGCACCAGGATGAGCCTAGAACTCTGTGCCTCCTGAGCACCTCACCATTCCCGTTATACAGATGAAGAAACTGAGGCAGAGAGCGAGCCAGCTCAGTGAGAGGCTCCTGGTCTCTGCTCCCCAAGGAGGAGCTGAGCTTGGACAGGATGTGGGCCGTGTGAGTCCTCAGGGACAAGGCCTGGCTGGGCCCAGAATGTAGGGAGACCCATCTGCCCCTAGTCCTCACAATAACAGCCATTTGCCAGCAGCCAATCCTTTCATCCAGGGGCCAGGAGCGGCTCTCACTCCCATTAGGATAACGATGCCAGCTGACCGGGTTATTAGCGCGGCCCAGTGTTTTGCTTGGATGCCGGGACAAATCAAGACCTGGGCGTATTTGAACCTGAGCACTTCAGAGAGGGAGGGGCGTGTGGTTCCAGCCAAGGCTTGGGGAGGGCTGCCCAACTCCGCACCATCTGGCCTTGTGTTTTTCTCTCCTTTTCTGATACCCTGCTCTGTGGCTAGCGGGGCCTTGGTTTCCCCTACATTCATAGGATGAGCTGGGGGGTTTGCTTTACCAGGAGAGACTTCCGAGACCCCAGTAGTGCCCACATGGCTCCATTGCCTGGCCTGGTGGGCTAAGATGGGCTGGAAGCTCCTAGTTTCTGGGACCTAGTGTTCCAAACCTCGGCCCCTCCTGCTCACCTGGGCCAACCCCGCCTGGTGGAAGGGAGGGGCCGACCTGACCTGGGTTCCTCCAGACTGGCTCTGCCAGAGCCCTGGGGTCACCACCGGCAGGGGGCGGGGTGAGCCTCTTCCTTCCTGGGCAGAGCCCACTGATCCTATCATGTTCTGAAGATTTGTAGGCTCAGCAGAGGCCGAGGCGAGGGGCCTGTGCTGGGGCGCAGCAGGTGCCCAGCAAGAGCAGCCGGGAAGTCAGTGGGGCCGAGGAGGCAGAGAGGAGCCAAAGCCACACCCAGGACCCAAACCTGAGAGCAGAGAGCAGGAGAAGGGTTTCCACTCCCCCGACCCTGAGGGGGCTGTGGCAGAAACGCCTCCTTCGTGGTTTCCAAGATATGGAGCTCTTCCATGCTTGGCGTCTGTTACCAAGTTTAGGTGGGCCCAGAGGTAGGGAATAGGACCCAGAGAGAGTTGGGCCTAACCAAGTCCCACCTGAGGCCCAGGACTTAAGTTCAACCTACTATGCATGGCCCATGGCCCTCAGCAGGAGCTCACGTCTTCCATGGGGCTCCTGGGGAAAGACAGCTCACTGCCTCCAAAGGCCACTCACTGACTCACTATTCTGCCCCTGCTCCTCCACAGCCAACCCGGGCCTGCTTTGCCCAGGCCCAGTTTGACTTCTCAGCACAGGACCCATCTCAGCTCAGCCTCCGCCGAGGTGACATCGTGGAAGTCGTGGAGTGTGGGGACCCACACTGGTGGCGGGGCCGGGCCGGCGGGCGCCTGGGTTTTTTCCCCCGGAGCTACGTGCAACCGGTACAACTGTGACCCCACAAGACCAGAGGAGCAATGCTCCGGCCTCAGCCTCTTCACACTAACCAGGACCTAGTCTGGGCACCACCAGGCTGGTTGCCGGGTTCATGATGTCACGGGCCACTGACAAGGCCCAGCCTCTCCAGGATTGAGGACGGACTACTAATGGCTAGGGCCCAGCTTAGAGAATGCTCCCCGTGAGCAGCCAGCCACCTGCTGCTTGTCTTCCAGAAGCACCCTTCAGGTTGTGCAAGTTGCTGGGAACGTGGCTCAGCCCTGAGCAACCTGGACTTCCATAAGGGTGCAGGGTAGTTTCTCCCACTTCAACAACTTGGGGCCTCCAGACCTTACCCCATCATCACAGGATGGGGCTATATAGAGGTGACTTCTGTTGGTAGAGGCCCATGAGGGACAGAAGCCATACAGTGGATCCTCTCCTGTTGGTACAGAGAGAGCCCAGCCTGGAGGTCTGGGCTCTGCTGGTTCTGGGGGAACAGACAGCCTATGGCCAGCATTGAGTGAACATAAGTCCAAAGGGGTGATGCCTGGCCATCGAGGGAACCTGAGCTGCCTCTGCCCAGAGTCAGAGCCCCTTCAGTTGGGAAAACTGAGTCAGACTTCACAAGGCCTGGCATGGTGGTAGGCTTTGGGGGAGGGAGGAAGAGAGAGAGAGGGAGAGCATGCCTCTGTGGTTGTCTTTAGTCCCTTGAAGAGCCCAGGTTCCAGGGGTTCTCCCTGAGTCCAGGCTGGCCCAAGACCCTTCAAGCTCTGAGCTTGGCTTACCCTATGCTCCCAATCCATACCTGCATATTCAAAATAAAACATTATCCAGTAGACATCCAACAGAATCTTCCACCCCATATCTGACTTTTCTTTTTATTGACTTGCTTGTTTTTGTTTTTCTATCCCGACTGCAGCCCCCTCCCTCCTTTCTTTCCAGACCCCCACACACACCCATACATCTTTAGTGCTGTTTTTGAAATGATTCTCCACTCTATTTTCAGAGCTCCAGTTCTGCTGGTTCAGCCAGACATCTGGTACTGACCCACTGTCTAGCTGTAGACACATTCTGTTTCCTTGGGCCTCTACGTCCAACCTAGGAAGGAGGGTGGCCCTGAGGACTTGAAGCATCCACATTTCCACTGGGGTGTGCAGGGGGGGGGCATCAGGCAAAGTAGGCATAGAAGAAGATGTTGACGCACATGAGGAAGACGGCATTGAAATTGCACACACGGGCCCAGAAAGCACGTTTCTGGGGTGTCTGGCCATCACCTGCAGGGGGTTGAGGTAGGTCAGTGAGGGATGCAGGCTATACTTGGGTGTCCATACCCCCAGCATGGGGGCGGGATGAGGACCAGTGCCAGGGGTACCCAATTACCTCCTTTGGTTCCTAAGGACCGGTCCAGGGCCAGTGTCCACCAGGTGAGATTTTCTATCTGCAGAGAAGAGGTGTGCCAGGACAGAGTGGTCCCGGAGAGTATGTGGGTCAGTTACAGAAAGAAGCTTAGTTCAAAGAAAGACAGAGGTCTGGGCCAGGAAGGGTTAGGAGTCAACAGTGGGAATGTCTGGAGTCAGAGAGGAGCAGAGATCTGCCTGTGAGCAGAGACAGGAACCCGTCAGTCGGGTCAGGAATGGGGCCTGTGGGGTCCGCGGACGGGACTGCCTCACCTGTCTTTGCTGAGGGGGTGGGCTCAGTAGGCTCCCAGCGGCCACTACAGCACAGGTAAGGAGGAAGAGGGCGATAGCAAAATGCAAGTAGTGTACACTGCGGAGGAGGGCTGGCCGCAGGTCCGCCTGGCCGCAGGGGGGCTCCGGGTACAGGAATTCCAGGACCAGCCTCAGGGCACCGACCGGCAGCCCGGCCATCAGGCCCCAAAAGGCCCCCTGGGGAAAGGAGAGGCAGAGGAAGACCTCAAAGGGCTCTCGGGGCACCCTTCAGGGGAACCCCACGGGACTTGTCTGTGCTACCCACCTGCTCATTGGCCCTCCTCCAGAAGATGCCCAGGACGAAGATGGCGGTGACAGGGGGCGCCAACGAGCTGGTCACCGACTGCATGTAGATGAAGAGCTGTCCGCTGTTGGAGCCCTGCAGGACTGGGATCCAGGCCACGCTCACGCCTATGAGCACCACGATGACCAACCTGCGGGTGGCAGCGGCCAGCCCTGCCTCAGCTCTGCGTTTTCCCTTGCTCCCTAAGACCTGCCCTCTGGTTCCCTCTGCCCATCTCAGCGCAGGCCTCCAGGAACCAGGCGCTCCTGCTCCATCTCCTGCCGTGGCTCCCTGCGGCCTAGGGGGTCAGTCGTTCAGCCCTGCTCTTGCCTTCTCCGCTCCGTGTACCCCATCTGCAGGCAGGCATGTGCTTGGGTGCCCGTGTTTTCCCTAAACTCGCTGGGCATTTGGGGTCGGTGGATGACACAGTGGCCCTCGAACCTGGGCCAGCCTAAAGGGACCTAGGAACACCTACGGATCTTTCTGACTCCCTGGCGGAAGCTGCACCACCCTAGCCAGCATATCTCCGTCCCCTAGCCCGCAGCTCTTGGCGGGTGACATCCCCCGCCCCCAAACACACACACCTACCCGCAGGCACATTGCTCCTCCCAAGTCCTTGCTGGAAGCTCGCCATGCTTTGGGGCTGGCCTTGCAAACAGATCCACCCATCCTACGCCCAAGGGAACCCAGGGGGCAGTGTGGGTCTGGGGGCTTCAGGGGGAACCCTGGAAACTCAGAGGATGAGCCACCCTGCTAGGGCCGGAATCCCACCTAGCTGAGTCCTTTTCCCCTCTCACTCAGGGGTACGGCGGGCGAGGCCCACGGCCGGCGCCTTGCAAGACGGACTGGCTGGGTGCAGGTGGGTGGGTCCTTCCCCCACCTTCTCACTTTGCTCCTGGCCAGGCCCGGGGCACAGGTGGCAGAAGGAGGAGGTGCCGCTTTGATTGAGGCTAATTAACCCTTAGACTGGAGCACAGCCTGGGCGCGGCCTCTTCAAAGCCAGGCGGTCTCCACCGACACGCCCTCCACCCTCCAGCCCGGGGCCCCTAGCAAGTCCGGGGCCTCATCTCACTGCCTGGCCTTCCGTTCAAGCCGGGCCTCTGGATGAGGAGGCGGCTGCCTTTTCCTAAAAGAGCCTCCAGGGGGCGCGCGCACACCCAATCTCCTGAGTGGCAGGCACCGTGTGTGTTGTGGTGTGTGTGTGTGTCGGGGGTGGGGGGGTGTCTGAGTCCTCCAAATTGCTCAGCTGGACATTGAACCCCAAGGGAAGAGACAGAATGGGTCAGCTGCGAGGGAAGTAAAGGAGGGGGGCAGGGTCCTAACATCACTGTTGGCCCACAACCCCAACTCGGCCGCCCGTGACAGCTCTCAGGCTTACAGCGAGACCAGCTAGGAAGAGCCTGCTTCTGGGAGGCCAGGGAGACAGGAGACATGAGGGCCACAGGCCAGGCTGCTAGGGCTACTAGAGTCCCAAGCCAGAGAGTGGGGCACCCACTGCAGGGCCCAGGAGGTGGGAGTCTGAAGGGCTTCTTTCAAGGAAAAAGCTCTCTCTCTCACAGGCCTCTGGTCGTCCAGCAGCTGCAGAGAGGAGGCAGGGGCAAACAGGCGGCCAGATGTCACGTGACCGGGTCTGATCGCTAAGAACTTGAACTGCTACAGAGGCCAGAGGCTCCCTTCCTGCGGATGAGCTCACGACGCCCCGGCTCCCAGGCATGTCCCAACAGGGGCTCTTCTCGCAGAGGCTGGCTGCTTTGCATCACCCGGGACAACTGCTGGGACAGCCCCTGCCCCAGGCTCCGGGAGGAAGGCTGCAGTCAGCCCTTGTTAGTGGGAAGGGAGCAGGCACCCCAGGAGACCACTCTCCACTGCCCTGGCCAGTCCCTCCCAGGCTCACAGTCAAGCACGGGCAGAAGGGTCCTGCTGGGAGGGCTCGTTTTGACGTGTTCTGGCTGCACATGCGAGGGAGGGATCTGGTAGTGGTCTGGCGGGGGGCGGGGCAGTGGGGAGTACTCATTCTCTGGGCAGGGCGAGGGGGTGAGTGGTGAGTATCTGGAGAGTTGTACAGAGGACAGAGATGAATGCTGGGCTGGGTGAGGAAACGTTAAGCCAGCTGGAGGAAACACCAGGTCCTCAGATGGCCCAGGGTATCATTGTGGTCCGGGTGTGGCCAATTTGAGGATTAGCTCTGGGATCCGTGCAGGGTAGCTGGAGCCAACCAGAAGTCTCAGAAGGATTTTTGGTGTCGTTGGGGAAGGAGAGCTGACCCCAGTTGAAGGAGTCAGCTCAGGAATGACAAGTGTATCCCGGATACTCCGGCCCCTTTCCTTCTTTCTCTGCTTAAGCCGGAACGCGGTGAGGCAGACGGTGCTGCAGAAGCCCCGCCCCGCCCCGCCCCGCCCCTCCCATACCGTCCGACCAGCAGCAGCTCCCGCTCTCCGGCGCAGGGCCGAAACCGCCTCCAGATGTCCATGGTGAAGAGTGTACTGCTGCTGTTGAAGATGGAGGTCAGCGACGACAGGAGCGCAGCCATCATCACGGCTATCATCAGCCCTCGAAGACCTGAGGGCAGAACAGGGCCCCCCACTGTGACCCGCTCCCGCTGAGAAGGAGCGGAACTTAAATGGCAGCCTGTGGCCCCGGCAGTGGAGTAATTACCCACCCGGCAGGGCTGTGTTCAGCCCTGGTGTCTACCTTCGGCAGAGCCTGAGCTGACAAAGCACTCTTCCTGCCCTGATCCAACCTGCCTGAGAGTGAGGAGCCCGAGACAGCTCCAGGGGCAGAGGCAGAACGGTGGGGGCAGGAGGGGGCAGGAGGGGGCAGGCATGGGACCCTTTGCTGGGAGGTCACACCTGGGCAGACAGGGGCCTATTCTCTGGAACTCCCTGCCACCTCACTTCCTGTACACAGCAAGTCCCAGCAAGCATGGTGGATCCCTTCTCGGCTCTGGTGGAGGTGAGGGCATGAGAAATCCACCCTATTTCCTGTGAGTGCAAGGTCCCTAGCCAGGCCAGGCAGCATTTTGGAAGTAAGGGGCTCCCAAGGGCTGCGGTACTTCAGTCTGGGTACCTCCTGGGTGTTACCTCGTTAGCAGACAGACTCCTTGCCTCTGCCTTCCACTCCTAGAAAGGGGTGTTGATACAGCCTGACCTCAATTCTGTAGTGTGACTCCCAGGCATCCCATGACCTGCTCTGTTTACTACTCAGGCTGATTAGGGTGGGGCCTAAAGGAAAGCGAGTTAAGCCATGGTTCCCCTAAACATTTATCTCCCTTCCTTGGTGCTTGGAAAGTGGTTGACTTGGTGCTTATTGTACCCATTTCTCAGACAGGGAGCTCAAGGCATAGAAAAGGCTAGAGGCCCAACAAGTCTACACTATGTCAGTGCTAGTCTGAGTCCTTAGCTCAGTATGGAAGGGGAGGCATACCCCGAGGTGGGAGTCCACAGTGTGGTCAGGCCCTGGGCCAGGCAGTATCCTTGTGTCATTAGGCTTAATCCTGGCAACAACCCTCAGGTTGGGTGGACTCATTATCCCCAATTTACACACGAGGACACCAGGCTCCAAGCAGAGAAGTGATGCGCTCGAAATAAGTTCGCTGGCACGTAGCAGAGGCAAGGTCTATTCCCAGGTATGTGTACATAGGCTTGGCCCTATGGGAAGGAAGGAGGCAGGGAAGAGCCTCGACTTCCAGATGAGTCAAGATTGCGGGACTCGGGGAGATGGCTCTTCTTTTTGTTTAGGGTGGGACTTCCCCCAGCCCTGGACCATTGCTTCTGCTTGCACACCTCCTTGGCTGGGGAACTCACCACCCAATATTAGAATAAATAGCAAGGCTACACAAGGACCATGGGAAATG